CATTCATTCTTTTTGACAATGTTGAGTTCTGGAGATACATTTATATATATATTCTTTTCTGCATGCAGGTTTGCCCCCTCAGTTGTCACTCAGCCAGCTTGAATACTCTGTTCCAGCCTGACAATGTCAGTTTTGTGCAATGTTTGCATCTGGTTTTGGCACACATAGTGTGCTAATCCAAGGCCCCTTGGATGCTTGGCTCCACAGCAGTTATACTCTCAAACTGACTGATTTAAAAACAAAAACAGGAATTAGTTTTACTTCAGCAGAGCTCACAAAATAAAACCAAACACAAGCAGTTATTGGGTAATGTACGTCCTATCGATATGAGCACAAGACATTGAGTGCCACTGCTGCATTACACCTATCATGCTCAGTGAGATTTTGTCTTAGACTGTTGGGAGTTAACATACACATCAGATGTAACGGGAACATAAGGGACTTTATGTGATTTTTAACTCCAAACAACCTCATCCAATGGTTGGCTGAGCCTAATAAGAATATTAGTCAACTAAGCTTTATCTAGCATGTCACAATTATAATGAGTACACAAGAAAATATCTGTAAAAATGGTACCAATACATCCCCAAAATAGTACATTTAATGAAACCGCCCATCTCCATGAGAACTGGAGATTTGTCCTCTATGCTTCTCTGTGAGACAATGCCCTACACCACAGATTGGCAACTTTGGTACTCCAGATATTGTGGACTACATCGCCTCCGATTGTTGTGGTAGCTTTTCTTCTTTTAAATATAGTCTCCTCTTTTACTGTGTTGATTCCCTTTATGAAACATTTAAATACATAAAGGGAATTAACACAGTAAAGGAGGAGACTATATTTAAAAGAAGAAAAACTACCACAACAAGAGGACATAGTCTTAAATTAGAGAGGCAAAGGTTTAAAAATAATATCAGGAAGTATTACTTTACTGAGAGGGTAGTGGATGTCACTGAAGAACTCTCCTTAAGACTGAATGTAATCCGGTAAAAGTCTGGTCTGATTTATTATAATAAAAAGCCATTGGAGACGATTCTTCAGAAGAGCTTCTGTGAGAAATGCCATTCTGGGACCTTATTGGGTGAAGACAGGCATGGGCTGCGTGGGAGAAATTTTGAATAAAATCAAGTTTTTAATGCGATCGTAGGGGACTTGGTCATTAAAGAGCCACTCCAGGATTAAAGTGATTCTATAATGTAACTGTCATTTTGTCTGTTTTTTAATTCACTTTTAACCCAATATTTCCATTTTTAAATCCTGGATTAAGAGAACAATCTTCAGTGTGTGCATTGATAATGCCATCTTATTAGCCATTTAAATTCCTGGGGATGATCGCATCTACTTCAAAGACACTGGGTGCTTGGTGTTAGTGTGGAGGCTTAGCTGGGCAGATATAGACCATTCTCTACAGCTCTCTATTCCGATACTGATCACTTGTATCATGTCTGCTGATCAGAGGAGTGAGTTTGTCCCTTCTGTAGCCCCTTCTTCGTCCTCGCTAAGGAGTAAGATTACTCTCATCCACAGCAAGATGTCTAATAAGGGCAAAATACAATATTCGTTAGAAGACTATGGAAGCGTTTGTGAAAACTGCAGGTAAGCAACAAAAATATATATTAATTCTTTTTGGTAGTTACACATTGGTTTTAATTAATTTTCGTACCACCATAGATTTAATGTGGGATTTTTTAAAATTCATTAGCATTCATGGTTTATTTTTCTTTTATACACAAATTATCTATTTTAAACAAATATTGCAATGTAGGATTTGTTCACTAAACACTAAACATTGAATTGCAACATTTGGTGAAAAACTCTGATTTAGAAATTTTCTTCAACTGGGCTATGGTCGCCCGTTATTTTAGCCTAAATCTTTTATTTCCATTTTAATTCACTGCCATTTGGTGTTTAGTGAAGCAGTATTTGCCTGTTGCATATTAAAGTTTGTCAAATAAATACAGAGACAACACAAAAATACCACTGTTTCCAATTAGTACAGTTACTGATCATTAAAAAAAAATAAAAATGTTTAGAATTACAGCTAAATGAATTCCCCTGTTTCCATTGATTGGGTAGAATTCATTACAATGTATTTTCATGGAGCATTTTCAGCTTAAATTTATAATTGCTAAAATATTTTATTTGACTTAATAATAGATAACTTATTTCATTAAAATAATGTCTGCTTTTTTATTTCATTTAAATGACTAACATTTTCAAAGCTTTTTTCAATAGCGTAATAAGATTTTCAAAAGTTATTCACAGATTTGATAACAGAGTAGTGAGCAATAGAGTAAAAATGAATATGTAGTAAAAAATATATATATATATTATTGTTATGTATATAGTTTTCAGTACACTGATTGGCCAATTTCACACCATTTAAGTTTGTCCAAATCGTTTTTCCTGAAATTATTGCATGGCCGAAATTTGTCTGAACTGAAAGGCAACATAGACGAAACACAGATGAAATTTTGTGTCAGAATTACAGAACTGAAAATACTGAAGACTTAGAAAAAAATTCCAATTTGACTATTGTAGGATGAAATATTTCAAATTCACGTGTAATTTGTTCATGCCAGCTGAAAAGCATTTGTGCACAAGTCTTGAAGAAACGAACACAAATCCTACATTTTGGAAATAAGCCATCACGCCTTAAGAACAATATTAAAATTCAGTGTCAACAAATGGCACTGATTTACAAAACCTGTAGTTCAAAACAAAAAAAACAATTAGTATTTGTAATTGAATTAAGTGGTGGAAAAATGTTTGCTAAAACTTACACCATTTTGGAGAGATAATTACATTATAAATGTAATGTAGGAAACAACCTTTCTATATCTCAAACGATGAACCAGCTATCAAGAGATCAACATTGCTTTGAAACTTATATTAGTATTGTGAAAACTAGGAAATAAACCAAATATTGTATAAGAATTATAAACAAATTCACTGAATGCAAAGAAAAAAATATTTACCAATAAAAATAATTGCAAATAAATTACTTCTTTTCTGAATGTATTTAAAAATGCTTGATATATTAGTGACAGACAGTGATGTTTTCTGTTTCATATTTAATGAGTTTAGATTGTGACATTTAGTTCTGGGGCATATAGCCTGTCCCTGCAGGCTGAGCAGTGGAAATGTTTTCAGAAAAGGCAGCGTGTACAGTGTGGACTAACCCCTCCTCTAGTGGCTGTCAATCTGACAGTTGCTGGAGGCACTTCCTGGGTTGGGTCCTGCATGGACTCCATTCATCTGTATCAGGAGATGCTGATGCTTGATGATCTCAGCCAATGAGGCGGCCACGATGATATCAGCTTAGTGAGAGCTAAAGGTAATAAATATATCTATTTCTTTGAATAATAATTGTTTATTATTCATTTTTACTAGTGGTTATCCCCCTGTACTTAGTGTACCCTGGCTGTATCAGAGTAGTTTTCTATCTATTTCTTTGGTTCCGTGAACTGCAGGAATCTTATAGTCACTAGAACACTATAGCATTAGAAATAAATATTTGTACTTTTTGCTATAGAGTTCCTGTAAGAAAATGATTTATATTTTCCTGTTAGCAAAGTGCGGTGGAGGGAGAGACCTTTAGTAGCAGAGATTCCTTCTGAATCCCCCTTTATCCTACCAAGGATGGATTGATGGGGAGCACATAATTCTTGCCTTCAACAATCTTATTATTACACCAATAAATATTAAAATGTTTCATTATATTTAGTATGGTAGTCTGTGGAATATTTATGTATGGCTGTTGGTTGTTGCTGTTTACTTACACATTCTAGCTATCACATGATATTATCACTTGTTAACATTGTATCCCAGGTGTTGCCCTCCATCCAAGGTCAGACTCAGTCGCACAGTTAGAAGGATACTGGCCGCCTGCTTAGTTTCGTTAGTCACTCTTCTGGGGTCAGTCTCCATTGACTTAAGTGACTGTGTGAAAGATTGGAAAAACACAGAAAACGTTCTTCATGGATTTTCTTCTTGCACCAATCTTTTGGCAATGAAATTCATTGGATTCCTTCAACACCAAAGGACGTTTTACCGCTGGGAAGCAACGAACTCTACTGACAGTAGAGCCTTACTGATTGACAACGTGCTTTCATTCTGCAAGGAGTCTCAGGAATTGCAGTACCATAACAGCAAATGTGAAAATGTGGCCGACATTAATCACACGTGCATTTTATATACCCAGAAATTAATTAATAGATTGGATAATATCTCTGCAACAGTTACATTTAGTGACTTACTTTCATGGACGATAAACGAGATATTAGATGAGCTGAGTCAGCCAGAAGACGATATCAAGACTGCTATGAAAAACTCTGATTGGATGGATGTGTCATCATTGCGTCTATTGCTCAGAGCGTCTGAAATCATCAGCAAGGTGGTACATTCTTCACCGATGACTTCTGACAAAGTTCATAATGTATCTTATCAGGTACTTACTATGCTAAACTATGCAATCTATACATCAGACACTATGTATAGGTGTTGGATAGAAAATATGCATTATAATGCAGAGTGGATATACCTATCGGAATACCAAAACATGCCACTCTTTGCCCCATTTGGTGGTCCTGTCTCGATGTTTTGGAACCAAACTGTGGCCAGTCACTTGGATTCTGTTCGAGATTGTTTACATCACAAGGGTTTTGAAAAGATCAACAATAAAGCAAAAGAAATTTTGTCTATCGTCAGCCTCAAGGTTACCCTTGTAGCTGTGACTTGTCTGCTCTACCCGATCGTCCTTGTGTCATTCAAACAGATGACCGAGTGGATACAAAACTACGCCACTAGCCTTAGGGAGAGGACAGAGGATCTCAAGAAAGAGAGGCGTCTTGCCGAGGATCTGCTGCACCAGATGTTACCCAAAACTGTGGCCAAACAGCTGAGAAAACACAAGAAGGTTGAGGCCGAGAGCTATGACCAAGTAGGTGGATTAATGTGTGTAGTAATCGGGAGTATTAATGTTGTTAAAGGAAATGGCATGCAGTTGTTGTGTATATGTTGGGAAGTCTTTCTTTTAATGAATGTGTGCCATGCAGTATGTGATGTATACTGTATATACATACTAAGACAGAAAGACCACACTCACATCCAAACTTTATAAGGGTGCTAGTAGTGACCAAAAGGAAATTAATGGAATCCGATTGATGCATTTGTGCCTATTTGCAGGGTGCTGTATGGGGTTTCTGACCCATTTAATTGATGTCTATGCTTGTCTGACAGGCTGACACTTTACCAGCAGGCATCGGGTACTGATTGTCAGCTTGCACTATTAAAAACCCATTATTTTGTTTGACATTGTGCGTCTCTACTTAGGTTTCTCAATCCACCATGTTCTCATGTTATCCCGTATTGCTCTAGCCAATATGCTCTTATTTTAGTTTGGTTTAGATTGCATGTAATGTAGTCTTTGTTCATAATATTATTTAATGAATGCGTATAATAAATTAATTTCATTGCATCTCCTGGTCTACTGTTGCATTCTGGGGCATAGTCATATTTAAGTAATGCAAACACTGCAGATAATCACCAGATGGTTTGGGCATTTTACAAATGCAGTCTTGGATAGTTTCAGACCTCTGTGTGGTCTTAGCACAGGGGTAGGCAACCTTTGGCATTCCAGATGTTGTGGACTACATGCCCCATGATGCTCTCACTGTATAAACTGGTATTGTTTGCAAAGCATCATGGGAGATGTAGTCCCATCTGGAGTGCCGAAGGTTGCCTACCCCTTTCTTATCAGATAAATGGTACTAATGTTGGGGTTGGGGTCAGGGCCGGATTAACATAGGGGCTGATGGAGCTGCAGCTCCAGGCCCAGGCCCATGGAATAGGCCCATTTAAAAAAAAAAAAAAAATTTTTTTTTTTTTTTACACCCTACTCTTAGGTTTGCCACCTGACTGGTATTTTACTGGCACAGCCGGTATTTAAAGCTGCCTGGTCGTGCCGGTATTGCAGTAATACCGGCAATACAAATGCAGGTATTTTTCTCAGAATAAATGGAGATTACACTGCAATACCAGCACCAGCCAGTAGGGGTCACTGTGTTTGGAGAGAGGCAGGGATAGGAAGTTACAGCATATCCCTCCCTGCCTATCTATACTCACTGATCCGTGGGGGAGCAGCAACACAGCACAGAGTCCAGACAGCCACTCTACAGCTCAGGTAAGTGAAGGATGGGGGGAAAGGAAGCAGTGACACATGGTGACACTGAGACACTAGGGGACACATATATGGACACTGAGACACTAGGAGACACATGGGGACACAGACACTAGGGGACACTGAGACACTGGGACACATGGGGACATGGACACTGGGAGACCTGGAAACACTGAGACACTTGGGGACACTGGGACACATGGGGATGCCGAGACACATGGGGATGCTATGAGACATAGGGACATTGGTTGGGAGACACTGGGGGACACTGAGACACTAGGGGACACTGAGACACATGGGGATGCTGTGAGACATAGGGACATTGGGAGACACTGAGACATTGGGACATTTATATGTCCCCGTTTCTCCCAGCGTCCCCATATACCCCATCCAGTGTCGCTAGTGTCTCAGTGTCCCCAATTCTCCCACTGTCTGTGTCCCATGTCTCTCAGTGTGCCTAGTGTCCCCATGTGTCCCAGTGTCCCTATATGTCCCAGTGTCCCCATGTCTATGTCCACAACTGTCCCCAAGTCTCCCAGTGTCTGTGTCCCATAGTCTCCCAGTGTCCCCATGTCTCTGTGTCCCTAGTGTCTTAGTGTCCCCAAATTGTTCAGTGTCCCCATGTCTCCCAATGTCTGTGTTCCTAGTGTCTCAGTGTGCCTAGTGTCCCCATGTCTCCCAGTGTCCCTATATGTCCCAGTGTCCCCAAGTGTCTGTCTCCCAGCCAGTGTCCCCATGTCTCCCAGTGTCCCCAAGTGTCTGTCTCCCAGCCAGTGTCCCCATGTCTCCCAGTGTCCCCTAGTCTCCCAGTGTCTGTGTTCCCATGTCTCTGTGTCCCTATTGTCTTAGTGTCCCCAAATGTTTCAGTGTCCCCATGTCTCCCATTGTCTGTGTCCCTAGTGTCTCAGTGTCCCCATTTCTCCCAGTTTCCCTAAATGTCTCAGTGTCCCCATGTCTCCCAGTGTCCCCATGTCTCTGTGTCCCCGGGTCTCTGTGTCCCCGGGTCTCTGTGTCCCCATGTCCCTGTGTCCCTATGTCTCACTGTGTCCCCAGTATCCTAGTGACATGGGGACATACCGAGACATTGGGACAATGGGAAAAATGGGGACACTGAGACACTGGGAGACTAGGGGACTGGGCGACATGGGGACACTGACACTGTGATACATAGGGACACTGAGACACTGGGTGACTTGCGAGACTGAGACACTGGGAGCAATCCATCTATACAGCAGAATCAAACTGTGAGTAGTTTGTTGGTGATTTTACAGAATTTTCTCTGATGTCACTCCTTGTGATTATACAAATGATTAAGGCTGGTATTTTTTTCCAAGAAAGGTGGCAACCCTAACTACTCTTCACATACTCTTGCTTAAAGGAGCACTATAGGCTCAGGAACACAATCATGTATATCTGACCCTATTATGTTAAAACCACCACCCTGGCCCCTTCTTGCCTCCCTAAGTATAGTAAAATACAACTTGTATTCAAGTCTGCAGCTGCTGGCTCTGCCTCTGAATTGACTGTCTGCTGACATCATCAGAAGTGGTGGTCTGAGCAAATTAAAATACTTCCCCATAGGATTGGCTGAGACTGTCAACTAGGCAGATCAGGGGCAGAGCCAGCACAAGTCCAACATAGCCCTGGCCAATCAGCATCTCCTCATAAAGATACATTGAATCAATGAATCTCTATGAGGAAAGTTCAGTGTCTGCATGCAGAGGGTGGAGACACTGAATGGCAGTGCTGCACACTAGGCAGTACTGCCCCAGGAAGCACCTCTAGCAGCCATCTAAGGAGCGGCCAGTGGAGTTATTTTCTCTGAAAAGACAGTGTTTACTGCAAAAAGCCTGAATGGAATGATTCTACTTACCAGAACAAATACAATAAGCTGTAGTTGTTCTGGTGACTATAGTGTCCCTTTAAGTTTGGAAGCTTAAGAGGGATGTATGGGAACAAAACTTGTGTGGACTAGCTGACAATAAAATTAGTTTAGGTAATGCAGACGCTGGTATCTCTAACACTGTGGCATGTCCCCTTTCTTCTACACTCACTACATACACCTTTTCTCTGTCTCAGACTATACCAGGAACTTCTGCCTGCTAGTAAGAAGGCAAGGAGACAAGTGGACCAGCGAGTGCTAGGGGACAGTCCTTAGAAAGCACGGAGTGAGCGCATCATTAGATGCATTTATGTCAAGCTCATGGTGCTGCCTTTATAGTATGCCCTTAGTTGGACAGCCTGCAGGATTGGCAGGCAGCCTGACATGCATTCATGCCAGGCTGTCCTTCAAATTCTTTGGACAGACATGCCCCTTTTTGGGCATGTTCTTCCCTTTTGGCAGGCCTGGTCACGTGATTCGCACCAGTGGCACACTCTTTTACCCTGCACATTGACTTCCTGCTTCACTGGACACTGCTGTTAGGGGTTATGGATTTACTTGAAAGATGAAAGCATAAATTAGAGAGAGATTAGCATAGAGTATGTGTTTTCTTATAGCTGCATCCTATGAGCTTCCCTCCAGCACCATCTCCATCAGATACATGACGCTTGGGAGGTAGGACTGTTTTAGGTCGATAAGATTCCGTAATTAGGCCCATCATATTTGTCAGCACCAGGCCCACTGTGCTCTTAATCCGGCCCTGGTTGGGGTTTTAAATTACACAAAGAGGAGCAATAATAATATCTATATTTATATATTATACAGTTAAGAATTATGTCAAATATAAATATACCCTTTTTGTAGGTCCTCCTGTTTTCCCTCTGTTGGTTACTTTTTCCTACCTGATCTGTAAACCAAATGTAACAAAAATATATACCGAACATTACATCATGTATACATTTTACAGTATAATGATTGGCCCATTTTTACACTTTTTCTGTTTCGGTTCCTGAATCGATATCTCGGTTCTGGTAAAAAAAAAACGTTTTGGGAAAGCCGAATTTAGAACTACAATATTTAAACTATAAAAATTCTCCCTGTCAGACAAGTTTTCAGTTTGACAATTTTGGCCCAAGATTTGTAATATTCTCTGAATCTCATCCATTCATATTGAAGTGAATAACCATGTGTAACGGGATTTGTAGCCTCTGTGAGGGGTAGGCTCTGTAGACGTGTGGCCTAAATTCCTCTTGTGTAATAATTTCTCAACTGTGGAAATGTGTTACTAAAACGTATATATAACAAAATCCTGAATCATGATATATCTATGTTATATGCAAACGGTTTTCTTTGCTCTATTGAATAATGCATTATTTTGTAAAAATTCTAAAACACGTTGAACTAAAAACAGTCCCCCCTTTTGCCAAACCCCCAGATAATTGCAGTACTCTTTCTATGAAGTTCCCTACTCAAAGCTTTCTGAAACAGCGACTCCTGCAAGCTGCTTCTATGCAGCGACTGTATATTTAAGTAGGTGTCATTGTCCGCTTAATTGGCAATAATAGAGCTATTACTCCAGAATAAACTCTTTAAACAAACACTCTGGTCTAAACACTCGGCGGGCCTTTGAGAAACCATTTCCTCCTAATTATGGCTGTTCACGATGAAGTGTTGGTGCTGATTAAAGAAGTGGGCCCAGCCGTTACCTACAGAACTCTGTGATTGGGGCTAGTTATAAGCAGATGTGCCCACCAGGATTTGGGGAATGTAATCACTCGCCGAGGCTATCGTAACAGAATAAAACACTGTATAAACTGGTTTGAATTATCCCTCCTAGCTTTAACCCACCGAGCACCATTGCAAAGAGATTGATCTGCTCAGCATTACATTTCTAAAAGGGCGGTTTAAAATGACACTATTTGTGTCGCTGATACTAAATAACACCGTTTGCTCCAATCCTTACCCATAGTGCAGTGCACCTTTCTCACTCTCCAGCCCATTGACACAATTGTTGCCACAAGCAGTGACATGAGGTTACATTTAGGGCTATTTACTAAAGTGAGAATTTAAAGTGATTTCCAAATTTAAGGCCAATGTAGCCAAATTGAAAGCATAGCTTATGGAATGTTATATCAGTATGTGGATGTGGATGATGTGCATTGCTCATTCTGGGATGTAAAGGGTTAACATGATGGAATGAAAGTGGTTCATAATCTGCCATATTCTATATTGCTCGCATTTTAATATATCTGCCCTCCGTATACTGAACAGGCTCAGTTATTCCCACATTATCTCTTTGTGTCTGTTTTTATTTTCAGGTGACAATATTTTTCTCGGATATTGTAGGATTTACCGCCATTTCTGCTTCCTGTACTCCTCTTCAAGTGGTGGAAATGTTGAACAGTCTGTACTTCTGCTTCGATAGCAGAATAGAGTCGTACAGCGTCTACAAGGTGGGAATCCCAAATCTGACTGTAGCTCCAGAAATATACCTACAGATTTATTTAACCCTCTCAGAACCACATGTTGCACTTGGCCATCATCACAATGCAGGTTTCGAGATGACATTTCCTGTGAATTGAAAATCAGCAGCTGAATCCAGCCCTGCAGTCTGTCTTTGAGAAGGTCACTCTCTTTGGGAAAGACCCTTAAAAACAGATTACCATGATGGTCTAAACAGGAGAGTTGTACACAAATTCTTTTAAGGTGGAATGAACAAATCAATTTTCTTTTAATCTATGCACGAACAAGTCGATTGTCTTGGTTCTACCTGTCGAACGAGATTCAATTAATGAGACGGATCGATTCGTTCGGTTTTAGATGAAAAGAAATTTGATTTGTTCATCTCAGCTGAAAAACATGAATAGACATGCAGGGCAACGACTTAACCTGTGTGTCTCTTAATCCTCTTTTTAAATGTCTTGCCCCCTTTAGGGTATCTTTTTCCCCATTTGTGTGTCTTACATCCCCTTTATGTGTCTCTTTGTGTCCCCTCAGCTTCTTTGGGTGTTTCTTTTTCCCTGTCCTAAACCTCTTTGTATGTCTCTTCCCCCACCCCCCCCCATTTGTGAGTCTCTTCCTCTCCCAAGCCCCTCTTGTGTGTATCTTCCCCCCAGCCCCTCTGTGCATCTCTTTTTATCCCCACCTCGTCTGTGTGTCTCTTTCTTCCTCCTTAAGCCCCCTGTGTATCTCTCTCCCCTCTGTGTGTTGCTTTTTCCCCCATCCCTGCTGTTTGTCACTTTCTCTCCATCCTCTCCGTGTGTCTCCATCTCCCCTCAGCCCTCTTTACCAATTTATAGTTGTGCCGCCCCTTAGGACAAGTCTACTAAACAGTCATTGGTCCCTAATGGGTTGGTCTAATATATCTATATCTAATAACAAAATCAAAGCAAAATAATAAAAAATAACAATAGCTTTTGCTGGATTAAAAAAATAATTTGTGACAAATTCCCTTTACACTGCTCTAGGTAGAAACTATTGGAGATGCCTATATGGTGGTCAGCGGTCTCCCAGAGAGGAACAATGACCGTCACGCTGATGAAATTGCAAAAATGTCTCTTGATTTAGTGGCTGGAGTCCGTCAAGTCATTGTGCCGCACATGCCCAATGAGCGACTGCAGCTTAGAGCTGGCATACACACCGGTACGTACAGGATAATGACAAAAACAAATGGAAAGACATTCGAGAATGTGAGAGTTTGAATTATAGACCTGCAACGTGTACACAGGGAATGCTCCAAGTCAGATATCAACTTCCAGATATTTTAAAATATTCTGAGAAAATAGATTTTACACTCCACGCTGTAAAATATTTCTTATGGGATTTCATTTTAAAGGGACACGCTACTTTAAAAAAAAAAAAATTGTCAGGTTAGGCCTATGAGGGTATTTTGTGGTTCTGAATGAAATAGAATTTTGAGGCAAAGTTCCAAAAATGGAACCTAATGGAATAATTCAACCGACTGCTTCATATTTACAGTATAGCATGTTCATGCATTGACGTATAATTGGCTCTCATTACAGCATTCTGATTGGCAGGGGCTGAGCGCAGGAAGCGCTGAGAATTATGGGTAACAAAGCACTCACGTTAAAACTATAAAAATAGTTTTCTAAAGTAAAAAATATTTAAATTTCTGCAGCATTCTATTAAAATTATTCTGAAAAATGAATGGTACAATGAGGTTATTTACAAATCCAGTAATTATGAACAAGTGACAAGGTAATAGCGCATTTAAGCCAAAATAGCTGAATACTAAAAGAAATGGTCAAATTGGAAAAAAAATTCCACCTCTGCTTTCTGGCCTAACTTTACAATTTCCCGGTCAATTTTCCACTATTCCCAATTTAATAAATAATCTCACATTTCACTGGGAGATGTGGCGTTCTTGGTATGTGACATTCTGAGCACAAACAAGCAGTCTTTCCACATAAGATACAGCCCAATTTTGGGGACTATTTTGGTGTCTCTACCTGGCTGTCCCTGCCTGCTGCATTGCCTGTAGAGTTTATGGACACATTGGCCAGAGTAACCTAATTCACAATAGTTTTTCAGTCTGTGCCTGGCTGAGGTGCTGCCAGAGACTGTAAAGTTAATAGATTTAACTTCATTGTCAGGAAACGCGAGAGTCTGTGTACAAGTCCTGAGGCCTGGAGCAGACCAGCACTGAAATGACTTTGTGTGAATGACAGGGACCTTCTTTTAACTGGGCTGATCACCTGGGGAGAAGCATGACTGACTAGTTGTATTCAGCACCTTTTTAAAGATTATTTTTTTTAATTATACCCTGATTTACAGAATTATTTATAGCCCTTCAAACATACAGACTCTTGTATCGTTAGAAAAAACGTATATGTTGCAATATTTGTAAAAAGAAAGAAAGAGAGCAATATATGTACTGGAATTAGGGTTACCGGATATTAAGGGTTATAGCTGCTCACATTTAAGGGGGTACTTATGTTTAGGGTTATGGGCTGCTTAAAGGGTTACTCCAACCACCATGACCAATTCTGCTTTTTGAAGTGGTTATGGTGGCAGGCTATTAGCACCCCCAGCATAATGAATATAGTAAACTGGGGCTCGGTTTTGGGCTGTCTGTCAATTCTGTGAAAAAATGACATTTGCTGCACTGCACACTGGCGACAGACATAATAGCTTCTCCATTTTAGACAGTGTCTGCACAAGGACAAGTGTATGTCTTCTCCGTCCCTGCTTTAATTAAAGTACACCCCCACATCCCATTACCGTAAAGCAGGGGTAGGCAACCTTTTAGCAGCACTGTGCCGATATAGGACTGTGATGTCACGTAGCGTGCCGGTCCAATTTTTAGGTGTGTATGCTGCCGTATTCTGCTTGTGTTATTTTTACTGTAATTGCTTTGTATCGTTGTATTTGTGCGTATATGAGCTATTATATTGTATATGTTCATTAGTAGTTTATGGTATCGTGTATGATACATATGAATGTGGGCTGTGTATGAGGGCTGCTTGTGGAATTGTGTGTGGATGGATATGTCACATTGTGTGTTTGGTAGTGTGTGGGGCTGTTTGGGGTATTGAATGTGAGAGGCTGCATGTGGGGTTGTGTGCATGTATGTGGATTGTTAGTGGTGTTACGTTAGTGGGAATTGTGTGTATGTTTGTTTGTGGGCTGTTCGTATTATTTGTATGAGGGGAGGGTTATTCTGCAGCTCTGTGTATATCTAGCAGTGTGGGTGGCTTCCCTGGGTTCCAGTGGAGACCAGACTGGCCTGGTACAGGTCAAGGACAGGAGCTGCAACAGCCGCTGCAGGCTGCTCTACTACAGATCCGAGATCACTTCCTCTACGTGCTGCAATGCATAAATTGAGGATTGTCCTTCACCACCTCTTCGTATTAGCAGATATCTGAAGTTTTACTGGGACTCCTGATAGGCCAGAGCCTGTTTGGCTCTAGCAGCCTTGAGTGCCGTGCAAAGACACCTTGAGTGCCGTGCATGGCACTAGTGCTGTAGGTTGCCTACCCCTGCCCTAAAGCAAGCATGTCAAACTCAAAGTCTAGCGTGGCCCCAAGTTTATGTGGGCCGCAAAAAAAAACAACCTTAAATTTTCAAAAACGTAGGTTTATTTTGAAAAGTACAGTATAAAAAATCCCAGCATACCCTCCTCTATTAAATCCCACCCCCCCCATATGCTAAATCACAGCACCCCCCTCTAGCCAACAAGCAGACTGCACTCACATTGCCGCTGCCAGTATGCGACTCCGGAGTCTGGGCTCTGGTATACCCCAAATGGCGCCGTCCACACCCTGTGCCAAGTCTGATCCTTCCGCTACTTCTTGAAACCCTGTGAAGGTGGAGCATGATGATGTCACGTCGGAACGTGACGTGGCGTTGCGTGCCTCCATGCACCTCCAGGTACTCCACTGTCCAGTCGCAGCGAATGCAACGCCGAACAACACAGACACACACTCACAGACAGACACACAGACAGACACACTCACTGACAGACACACACAGACACACACTCACACACTGACACACAGACAGACACACTCACTGACAGACAGACCCACTTACTGACAGACACATAGACACTCACTGACAGACACACTCACTGACAGACACACACACACACTCACTGACAGACACACTGACACACACACAGACACATACTGACAGACACACACACACACTGACAGACAGACCTTGCACACATATCATTTTCTTTATTGCTCCCTACCTTTGGGAGCCAATGTGGGGCTTCTCCCTGGGGTCCAGTAGGGATCAATATGGGGAGAGCAGGTGCCTACTCTGCTATAACACCAAGGATGTACTCACGGCTCGCCGAGCCACAGAGATGTCCATTGTGGGCCGCGAGTTTAACATGATTGCCTTAAAGTATTTTTTTAAATGTAAACTTTAATTATCCTCGCACTCCCTACACACAAAAGATTTGGAGTAACCCTTTATGGTTAGAGTCAAAGGATACTTAGGTTTTGGGGTACCTCTGCATAGCATTACTGGATACTATGGACTGTTTCAAGTTTAGGGGTACCTAGGATAGGGTTATTTAATACATAGGTTATGGACTATATTGCTTTTACCATCGAAACTTATTCTGTAAATAGTCAGCTGTGCTGATCTAATGACTACTTTACAAAACTAGTCACTAATTCACTTTTGTAGGGAATTTATCATTTTTATTCTAGACTATTTATTGATTATTTTAACATTTGCGTACTCTCAGGACCCTGCGTCGCTGGTGTGGTTGGGTACAAGATGCCTCGATACTGTCTGTTTGGAGACACAGTGAACACAGCTTCTCGAATGGAATCTACAAGCTTACGTAATATTACTCACGGATCCCGGATTTCCCTTACTTAAACAACAGTGCCGATAGGACTAACCCCTGATTTGTATGCAAAAAATTAACAATAATTAAGAAATAAATAAATAAAATACCTAACATATATCTATAGTTTCTAACAGTGGCAGTGAAATATATTTAGACTTGAGCAAACAACTACCCATATTCTGTGACGCATTGCATACACCCATATACCAAGATGTCAGATTTGGTGTGAGCCATTTGGGGGTTCGGTGGCTTTGCATACTGCTTGGGCCAGCAGTCACCTTTCAGGAGGAGGCTTGCTTGCAATTCTGAGTGAGTTTTAGGATTGGCAAGTGAGGTACGATATGACATTTAGAACTGTGATATGTAATGATGTCCGCTCTGCTATTATTCCTTGTAGTGATTATATATTTGCCAAATTATTGATAATTTTGCTTTAGCTGTGTCAAAAAGTTGCATTGCAAAAGTACTCATTAGTAGACCCAACAGGGAAAATATAATCTGAGACTTGTTTGTGTTAACCTGATGGCAGTAATCTGTTTATGAAATACCCAGTGACCAGATCCATATTGTATACAACTCTGATCTAAACAGCCCAGAGGATCCACATCAGCTCCGCCACCTACCAGGTTCTGCTCGTAGACGATGCTTATGAAATTGAACCTCGGGGAGAGATCGATGTTAAGGTGAGGACAGTGTAATCTCTGTTAAAGATGCCAGGTTATAGTGCAGGGTCCTTGTGTGCCCGTTCTATAAATTACATTAAAAATAATATTGGGGTGATGCTGTCTTCCAATGAGTGCCCTGTTATTCTAGCACTGTGATGACGATGCTTTGCATTCAAGAGTTACTTCAA